TTGTTTTTTCAAATGTTTTTTTTGCGTTTTGTATTTACATCTGTTTTTGTATTTACAATCTTTTTCTGCCGATCTGCAACTGACACCGGCTCCTTCATGACCATGACAGGCACAGACTGGGCCATAGACCGCATCCACTTCGGAAGCTCCAGCTGCAAGTCGAAAGCCATACGAAGATAGCAATACAAGCTGCACGTCCTGGTGTGGCCAGACACATAGGTGAAGGTGTCGCTGTCACCCTGCCGCACGACCTTCATCGGGCCAAGCCATCCTTCTGATTGGAACATTGCTGCCAGCTTCTCCTTCCAGTGCGCGCCGTGAACGTTGGGAAGTTACAGTGGGAGCATGCAAACTTTATGCTCCAAATCCTCCAGAAACAACAATGATTCGTGAAATCCCCATCTTGACCGATCTCTTTAGAAGTTGAGGTCCGGTGGAAGAAGGAGAAAGAGAAGAGATAACATATGATCTAACAAATCTCACCTGACAGGTGGGGTCTTACTTGCTCTGTTCGCCCGCGCAAAACAACATGCGCGGAACCGGCGCAAAAGCAGAAGCGCGTAACGCGAGGAAACCGCGCGAAACGCAGACGCACGGAACCTGCGCGTACTATTAATACTTCTACTAGTAGTAGTAGTAGTAGTAGTAGTAGTAGTAGTAGTAGTAGTAGTACTAGTAGTACTAGTAGTACTAGTAGTACTAGTAGTACTAGTAGTACTAGTAGTACTAGTAGTACTAGTGGTACTAGTGGTACTAGTAGTACTAGTAGTATTAGTAGTACTAGTAGTACTAGTAGTACTAGTAGTACAAGTAGTAGTAGTGGTGGTAGTAGTAGTAGTAGGGGAGGCCGCTGGGCAGGACGGTGCAAAAATGTTCTGCATTGCTTGGTCATGAAACAAAAACTACCACGCTTATATGGAATTAATGTTTGGGATCTACGGCCGCTGCTTCCTTGCTGTTGGGGATATTCTTTGGGCTTATTTTTCAATCCGGATTGAAATTCAAAAAATCAATATTTTTTCAATATCGGTTTCAATAATTATTGAAATGGATATTGAAAATTTTCAATAATTATTGAAACTGGAGATTGAAAAAACACAATAATTACGCATACATTCTGACATCTAAACAACAGGCTTAAAGTTTGTCGATATTTTGTGTATTATCGTTCTTTACTTACGTCCTTTTCAAAATTCGGCGCGGTTTGCGTAAGGTCCGAAGATTGTGTTCTTCTTGGTTTGTATAGATAGTGTTCAACAAAGCAATAAGATAGATTGTTCACTACTAGCAATGACCGCATTCAATAAAACATCAAACCACGCTATTAGATATTTGTCAGATTCTACGTTTTCATGTCTTGAATTTAGCTATATATGTTTATTTTTGGATAAAAATAATCGCGGATTTAGATTCCTGCATCTGGGTCCCGGGATCCGGGTCCCGGATTCCAGAATCCACCTGACCATTCTAGGTAGAAATCAAGGTTTGAAAAACTATACAGATTTGTTTCGTCTCTGGACTTTCTTTAGATCAGACCTTATAGATGTAAATAGTTTTGGTATGAGTTGTACATTTCTCGCTTGTCTACACGGATGTATTTTTGAAATATGTTCTTGAAAAAACATAATTACATGAAGACACAGGTAATCGATGATGGAAAAAATATTCTGCATGTCCTGGTATGGATAATGATATGTATATTGTCACCAGGTACATGTCTCTTATACTCATGGCACTCAGGTGCAACTACACTTACGTGATTTTTTCTACCTCATGTTTTCATGCTATGCCGCTTATTTTTTTTAATGGCGCTTCGCTTTTGTCGCTGGTTTTTCAAATGCGTTTGCTTGAAGTGTTCATAAAGTGTTCCATGTGAATTTATTTGAATTGCGTTCTGGCATTGCATCTCGCATACATTCTGACATCTAAACAACAGGCTTAAAGCTTGTCGATATTTTGTGTATTATTGTTCTTTACTTACGTCCTTTTCAAAATTCGGCGCGATTTGCGTAAGGTCCGAAGATTGTGTTCTTCTTGGTTCGTATAGATAGTGTTCAACAAAGCAATAAGATAGATTGTTCACTACTAGCAATGACCGCATTCAATAAAAAATCAAACCACGCTATTAGATATTTGTCAGATTCTACGTTTTCATGTCTTGAATTTAGCTATATACGTTTATTTTTGGATAAAAATAATCGCGGATTTAGATTCCTGCATCTGGGTCCCGGGATCCGGGTCCCGGATTCCAGAATCCACCTGTCCATTCTAGGTAGAAATCAAGGTTTGAAAAACTATACAGATTTGTTTCGTCTCTGGACTTTCTTTAGATCAGACCTTTTAGATGTAAATAGTTTTGGTATGAGTTGTACATTTCTCGCTTGTCTACACGGATGTATTTTTGAAATATGTTCTTGAAAAAACATAATTACATGAAGACACAGGTAATCGATGATGGAAAAAATATTCTGCATGTCCTGGTATGGATAATGATATGTATATTGTCACCAGGTACATGTCTCTTATACTCATGGCACTCAGGTGCAACTACACTTACGTGATTTTTTTACCTCATGTTTTCATGCTATGCCGCTTATTTTTTTAATGGCGCTTCGCTTTTGTCGCTGGTTTTTCAAATGCGTTTGCTTGAAGTGTTCATAAAGTGTTCCATGTGAATTTATTTGAATTGCGTTCTGGCATTGCATCTCGCATACATTCTGACATCTAAACAACAGGCTTAAAGCTTGTCGATATTTTGTGTATTATCGTTCTTTACTTACGTGGCGCGATTTTTGAAAATTGTGTTCTTCTAGGTTTGTTTTCTCCAGTATAAAAGCGTTTAAAAGAGCAAGAAGGCGGATTATGCACCAGTAGCAATGAATCAGCGTTCGAAAAATATTGCCTTGTTTTTTTCAAATGTTTTTTTGCGTTTTGTATTTACATCTGTTTTTGTATTTACAATCTTTTTCTGCCGATCTGCAACTGACACCGGCTCCTTCACGACCATGACAGGCACAGACTGGGCCATAGACCGCATCCACTTCGGAAGCTCCAGCTGCAAGTCGAAAGCCATACGAAGATAGCAATACAAGCTGCACGTCCTGGTGTGGCCAGACACATAGGTGAAGGTGTCGCTGTCACCCTGCCGCACGACCTTCATCGGGCCAAGCCATCCTTCTGATTGGAACATTGCTGCCAGCTTCTCCTTCCAGTGCGCGCCGTGAACGTTGGGAAGTTACAGTGGGAGCATGCAAACTTTATGCTCCAAATCCTCCAGAAACAACAATGATTCGTGAAATCCCCATCTTGACCGATCTCTTTAGAAGTTGAGGTCCGGTGGAAGAAGGAGAAAGAGAAGAGATAACATATGATCTAACAAATCTCACCTGACAGGTGGGGTCTTAGTTGCTCTGTTCGCCTGCGTCAAACAGCGCAAGCAATCGTTTCATAGAGCAAATAGCTTGGAAAAGAGTGGTTTTCGGGTGCTAGTTGCTTTGTTCGACTCCGAGTTGCTCTGTTCGCCTCCGTCCAACAGAGCAACCAATTGTTTGGCATGTGTCGGTTTTGTCCGGCAGGCCGATATGGGTGATGAGTACGATATTATAGAATGGCCTTGGGAACCTTCGGAACCTTGCGAACCTTTACTTGGGAACCTTTACTTGGGAACCTTTTCTTGGGAACCTTTACTTGGAAACCTTTACTTGGGAACCTTTAATTGGGAACCTTTACTTGGGAACCTTTACTTGGGAACCTGGAACCTTTATTTGGGAACCTTTACTTGGGAACCTGTAGTGGGAACCTGTACTTGGAACCTGGGAACCTTGGGGGAATCGGTTTTGGAGCTGCTCCGGTCTGCTCCGAAACCTTTACTATGGCTGAAGACCCCAAAGCATTCTGCTGTTTGGGAAAAATCAATCTTATTGATATTTTCAAAAAGATTGAAAAAATTCAATCCCTGGACCCTCAGGGTGTCTCCCTCAAAAAAAACATGTTTTGCCCTAGATTTAGTATATTATATGGTTGGGACTGCATAGGTATATATATGATGAAGCTCAAAGCTACCTTGCTGGCTCACTGCCTCCTTGCTAGCTCAAAGCTCAAAGCTACCTTGCTGGCTCAGTGACACGTAGCTGGCTCAATGCTTCGTTGCTGGCTCAGCGCCTCGTAGCTGGCTCAGCGCCTCGTAGCTGCCTCAGCGCCTCGTAGCTGGCTCAATTTTTTTAGCGGAAAAAAAAACATCGCAAAAATTGAGCCGGCTACATGCCCTTGAGCCGGCTCGATGGCCCGTCATCCACCCGGCTAATACATAGTTAGTACTCGTTTTGATGCTCTCACATCCGTCCGCCAGCTCAACGTGACGTAGCTGGCTCAGTTTTTTCGAGTTGTTTTTTTTCGTTGAAAAAAATGAGCCAGCTCGATGCCATCGAGCTAGCTCGATGTCTCTGAGCTAGAGCGATGTGTTGAGCTAGCTCGATGGTGCCGAGCCAGTTCGTTGCAGTTGAGCGAGCTCGCAGAAACTGCCCAATGTGTTAAATTGCCAGGTTCAGTCCCCACTGATTACTTTAGTACTAGATATGGTACCTCTGAAAAAACCCAAGATGACTGTCAAAGACATACCCCTGATGAAATTGAGCCAGCTACATGTTTTGAGCTAGCTCGAAAAAATGGAAGATGGTGGATTCCACCATTCACCTTGGCATTGCCACTGAAGAACTTATAAGCTAACATACCCGGAATAGGGGTCAGTCTGTTCGCATAAACACATTCGCAACAGGTACGTCACTGGACGTTTGGAATGGCACTTGCATAGACAAGCGGCCCCCCTTCTTAAATAAAATCATGATCTTGATTCTTAACTGCATGAAAGTTAGCGGTTTACACACACACACACACGCTACACTATGTCTGAATCCTTCTTGCAGAAGCGACCGGATGCAAACCCGGCTTCACCTCCCCCCAAAATGCATAGAATCTCGTCCAGGAATGCGGTCATCACTGAGGTCTGCATAAGTATCAGGCGGGTCTCTGAACGTTTTGCAGTGTGAGGGCACTACTGAAGGTTGGGACCACGTCCAAACGTGTCGTTTGGAAACTGTAAGTGCTCCTTGAAGACCCCCCAACATCATGTTACGATGTGGCAAAGCAAACTAGATGAAATTGAACCACATATGAATTTCCTTTGAATCTATTTGCGAGTTTCTAAGTGCGAATTTTGAGGCAGCTGGCAATGGACCAAACATTTAAGTTAGCATTCCCTTTCACACCAACCCTGTCCGTTCTCATGCTATTGAAACTTCCTGTTCAGAGAATCTGAAATCAAACAGCCTGGTACTTGAGCGAGTTTTTTCCTTATCCGCTGCATCCTCAAGCTGAGGGCCAAAGGTATGGTCAATTGAATTTGAAACCAGGTTATTTGGTAAGGGTGGAGCATATTGTACTGTGGATGACATCTCACATCCATGAGTCAGCCCCTGTTTTCAAATCTGGAGCACTGTATCCAGCATCATCAAGACAATTTAGCTTGCCAGATTTTGCCAGGAGGTCTTTGAAGACACCTTTGAGGAGATGCGCCTGACCACTGATGTTGTAGAAGAAGTGCGGCAGGTCCGGGTTCATGTGGTTTTCGGGTCGTCCAACCTGTTGCAAATGACAAATTCAGGCTCCAATGTAAAGCATTCCCGGCCCTACTTTGGATCGTTTGCAGAACTGCAGTTCAGTGCGGCCGGCCAGGCTTTCAACCAGTTCATTGCATTGCAGTCAAGCAGAGACGCAGCAGGTGCCAGCTTCTCATGAGTTGTTGGTTCGGATTGTGCGAACCAGACTTGATAAGAAGATTCTCAGACGTGAAGAGCTGAACATAGCTGAGCGCTGTTCAGCAGCCGTTTGTTTCTCCGTTGAATTCCCAGCATAACAATGCAGCAACATATCTGGAACGTTTATATGGTTGGCAAGACAGGGTGATCACGAAAGCTAGCAGTAGCTAGCTGGAGTTGTGCATGTGTTTTAGCAAAATTTAGCAAAATAACTTTGGGGGTCTGGGAGAAGCTCAGCCATGCTCAGTCCCTGTCTGCGTGAAGTTTCACGTAGCCCCTCCTCCCCTCGGGCTCGATTGCGCATGATCTCTTCGTGACTTTTCAATATGTCGTATCTTCTCGTCTCCTATTATCTCAACCCATCTTATCTCCTATTTATTTCCCATCGCATCTAGTTTAGTCTCATTTCATCTCATTTGATCATATTTCGTTTCCTATGGCGTCTCATCAGGTCTCATATCATCTGATCTCATCTCAAGGCATATCATCCGGTCATTTCTCATCATGTCTCATCATGTCTCATCTCAACGTATCCCGTGTCATCGTATCTCATCATATCTTATCTGGTGTCGTCTCATCACACCCTTCAATTGCATCATATCATATCATACCATTTCATATCATATCAAATCATACCATTTCATATCATATCATATATATCATAGCATATCATGTAATTTTGAATATCGTATCTTAGCTTTTTTAAAAGCCTCGTAAACAATGCTTTTAAAGCTCCAAGAGACGCGGTGAACGTAGGGGGTACGAGTGGCTAACGGACGTGGTGACGAACGTAAGGCGAACGAGTGAACGGACGAGTGCACGTGTGAGCGAACGAGTGAACGGACGTGTGCGTGCAAGTGGACGGACGTGTGCGCGTACGTGCGTGCGTTTGCACGTTCACTGGCCGCGTGCGCGCGCACGTACGAAAATAAGGTCGACTGGAGTCGACCTTATTTCTGTACGTGCAAAGCGCTACAATACTAAATCAATACTAAAGAGGCAGGGTCGTGCAAAAATAAGGTCGACTCAAGTCGACCTTATTTTCGTACGTGCGCGTGCGCGTGGCGAGTGACCGTGCAAACGCACGGACGTACGCTCACACGTTCGCTCGCACGTACGCTCACTCGTACATACATACGTTCGCACGTACGTTCACTCGCACGCATGTCGTTCACACACACGTTCATACCCCCGTTCATGTCACTCGTCACTACACGTACGCTAGATAACAAAAATATTTTTACGAGACTTTAAAAAAAGCTAAATCGTATCATACCATATTACGAAAGCCAGCCGATAGGCTAGGCAAAGTTGTTTTGGCGAACGAAGTGAGTATTAGGGGGTCTGGGGGGTGGACGTCGCGTGTGGTGCCAAAATCTCGAAATTAGTTGCAGCGGAGGGCGTCCAAATTGAACTTTTTTGGGGGGCATGTACCACTACGCAAAGAGGTGACGGTAGGCTTCGATTCCCCCTAGGTCCGTTGACTCCGGCAGGAAAAAGGGAGGAAAAAACCAAGGAAAATGAAGGAAAATCGTGAAAACAGGGGGAAAATGGAGGAAAATGGAGGAACGACAGGAAAAAGGTAGGAAAAAAACGACAGAAAATGGAGGAAAATCGTTAAAAGCAGGGGGAAAACGGAGAAAAATGGAGGAACTCCGAAGCGCAACGGAGAGCAGCGTTCGTTTGTGTTCGGAACAGGAGAGTTTGCAAGGGGATGAGAAGTGATACTGAGGAAGGGGTGGCGAAGGGTTGCAAAGCAAGGATAACAATTCCAAAGGTGCTGCAGATGTTTTGGGCTTCTAGTAGACGATGAACCAGCGGGCTGAGGATCATTACAGTAGGGGGTGGACAGTGTAAAGTGTAAACTGTTGTGGGGGGAGTATAAAGTGTAAAGTGTGGAGTGTAGAGTGTAGAGTGTAAAGTGCAGAGTGTAAAGTGCAGAGTGTAAAGTGCAGAGTGTAAAATGTAGAGTCTGTGTAGGGTGTGGAGTGTGGAGTGGAAAGTGTAGAGTGTGGAGTATGGAGTATGAAGTGTGGAGCGTGGAGTGTAAAGTGTGGAGTGACATACAATCTTTCACCCACCATCTTTCACACACACAACTTTGTCACACACCATCTTTCACACTACTTTGTGACACACCATCTTTCACACACCACTTTGTGACACACCCCCTTTCACCCACCATCTTTCATACACAACTTTGTCACAGACCATCTTTCACACACAGCTTTGTCACACACCATCTTTCGCACACAACTTTGCCCCACACCACTTTGTCACACATCATCTTTGACACGAAGTGTGGAGTGAGGGCAGTGAGGGGTGTACAGTGTAAAGTGAAAGGTGTGGAGTGTAGAGTGTAGAGTGTCAAGTGTAGAGTTTCAAGTGTAGAGTGTGGAGTGTAAAGTGTGGAGTGAGGAGTGTATACAGTGTAAAGCGTAAAGTGTAGAGTGTGGAGTGTGGAGCGTAAAGTGTAGAGTGTGGAGTGTGGAGTGTAAAGTGTGGAGTGTAAAGTGTATAGTGTGGAGTGTAAAATGTGGAGCGTGGCGTGTAAAGTGTGCAGTGAGGAGTGAGGAGTGTAAAGTGTTTTGTGTAAAAGTATGGAGTGTAAAGTGTGCAGTGAGGAGTGAGGAGTGTAAAGGGTAAAGTGTAAAGTATGGAGTGTAGAGTGAAGAGTGTAGAGTGTACTATGGTACTCCTATACGAAGACTGTACGCTGGAAGTTATATGAGTTTACAGAATTAGACGAGTTACAACATGTATATAAACCTTCTATAACATGTCTATAACCTGCTTGCAAGTATGTAAAGTGTCATAACATTTGATAAGTAATTTGTAAGTTTAGCTAGCCGGCTACGAGAAGTTGTAAATGTTTAGGTAAAATATAAATGGGTAATGAACTTATCGTAAGTATCTTAACTGCATGTTTTCTTTTTATAACTATGTTAACAGACTTAACATAAGTATGTAGGAAAAGTTATCATAAGTTATCTGAAAGTTAACAAAAGTTATAAAAAGTTATAAAAAGTTAGTATAAAGTTATATAAAGTTAAAAATATGTTTACAAGAGGGCAATGAAAATGTTTCTTTATTTTACATTTTTCGGCGCCACATAACTCTGAACATGGAGCCTGGATGATGAAAAAAAGGCATATTGCGTGTGCTGCCTCAGTTCTTTGGTTTGATAATTTTAGATTAAACCAAATATCATATACAAGTACTTCCTGCAAGGGATATGGTCTGCAAAGATACTTCCTGAAAAGGACAGAGTCTGAAGTGAAAGTTCCTGAAAGGGAAATATTCTGGAATGACAGTTCCTGAGAAGGATCCGGTCTGAGAAGACAGTTCCTGAGAAGGATCCGGTCTGAGAAGACAGTTCCTGCAAAGGAAAGAGTCTGAAATGACAATTCCTGAGAAGGATCCGGTCTGAGAAGACAGTTTCTGAAAAGGATTAATTCTTCGATTTTCAACCTTTCCCCTATAAATGTCCCTAGATAGCTATAGTTCAGCTATAGCGCAGCTATAGTTCAGCTATAGTTCAGCTATAGTTCAGCTATAGTTCAGCTATAGTTCAGCTATAGTTCAGCTATAGTTCAGCTATAGTTCAGCTATAGTTTAGCTATAGTTCAGCTATAGTTCAGCTATAGTTCAGCTATAGTTCAGCTATAGTTCAGCTATAGTTTAGCTATAGTTCAGCTATAGTTCCACTATAGTTCAGCTATAGTTCAGCTATAGTTCAGCTATAGTTCAGCTATAGTTCAGCTATAGTTCAGCTATAGTTCAGATAAAGCTAGCTATAGTTCAGATAAAACTAGCTATATTTCAGACAAAAATATCTATAGTTCAGAAAAGAATGGCTATAGTTCAGACATAAATAGCTATAGTTCAGATAAAAATGGCTATAGTTCAGATAAAAATGGCTATAGTTGAGACAAAAATAGCTATAGTTCAGACAAAACTAGCTATAGTTCAGAATAGAAGTCGCTATAGTTCAGACAAAACTAACTATAGTTCAGACAAAAATAGCTATAGTTCAGACAAAAATAGCTATAGTTCAGATAAAAATGGCTATAGTTCAGAAAAAAATGGCTATAGTTCAGACAAAAATATCTATAGTTCAGAAAAAAATGGCTATAGTTCAGACAAAACTAGCTATAGTTCAGAATAAAAGTCGCTATAGTTCAGACAAAACTAGCTATAGTTCAGACAAAACTAGCTATAGTTCAGACAAAAATAGCTATAGTTCAGACAAAAATAGCTATAGTTCAGATAAAAATGGCTATAGTTCAGATAAAAATTGCTATAGTTCAGATAAAAATGGCTATAGTTCCCGAAAGGGAACGTTTTAACAAAATAACGGATCCCGAACGGGAACAGTTGCAACTAAACTTGTTCCCAGATCCAAAAATACAGACAGAGATATCACTAAAAAAAACATATCGCCTCAGGTGTCATGATTCCTGAAACATACATAACTGAAACGCTTTCACATCACTTCGTCGATTCAAAAAAGGATATCATATCTGAAAGTTCTTTCAGAAACAAGACAGTTATAAAATCCACGTGGTCGGAAACCAAGGCAAAGACTTTCAAAAGTATAAAAATATACAAAAAAGTTACAAAAAGTTATGAAAAGTTATAAAAAGTTAGCAGAAGTTATAAAAAGTTAGCAGAAGTTATAAAAAGTTAAGACAAAACTTACAAATAAGTTATTAAAGTTAACATAACTTCCTTTTATCTTTTTGATAAGTCATGTTAACTTCCAACATAAATCCTTTAACTTCTGTATATCTAGGCTAAGTCTGTAAAGTCTTATAACTTTAAGCGTACAGTCTTCGTAGAGTTACAAGTACCCGGGCAAGCCGGCGGCGGAAGTTTCCCAAAAATAACTGACCTATAGTTCGAAGAAAAACCTGTCCCGACCGTGTCCTTCCCTCGACAAGCGGTTTTTTTCAGCGAGAGACGAAGCAAAGTCTTCACACTCCACACTCCATACTTCACACTGCACTCTTCGCACTCCAAACTTCAAACTTCACACTCCACACTTCACACTTCACACTCCACACTTCACACTTCACAGTCCGCACTTCACACTTCTCACTTCTCACTGCTTCCTTCACACTCCAAACTTCACACTTCACACTTCACACTTCACACTTCACACTGCGCTCTTCGCACTCCAAACTTAAACTTCACACTCCACACTTCACACTTCACATTCCACACTTCACACTTCTCACTTCCCACTGCTTCCTTCACACTTCACACTGCACTCTTCACGCCCCACACTTCACACTGCTCTAAACCTACGTGCAACAAAAAAAACACTAGTGCCAAAATGGAGAAAAAATGCTAACAAATCCATTTCGCAGCCTTCATGCAGCCACTCCAATACGATTTACGAGATCCAGCTGCAAAAGACAATAGTATTACGAATGCAGCCACAGCACGAAGCAACCTTGACGCAGCCACTACAATGCGATCTGCAGAGACTGAGTTGCAAAACACAATAGAACTACGCGCAACGGCGTCGGAAATTGTAGCTCCAAAACCGGATCTCGACGCCAGAGCGAAAAAAAGACGATTTTGAAGCACTTTTTTAAAGGATTTTTAGAAGGAAAATCACTAGCGCCAAAATGGAGAAAATCTGCTGACAAATCACTGTCGCAGCCTTCATGCAGCCACTCCAATACGATTTATGAGATCCAGCTGCAAAAGACAATAGTATTACAAATGCAGCCACAGCACGAAGCAACCTTGACGCAGCCATTACAATGCGATCTGCAGCGACTGAGTTGCAAAACACAATAGAACTACGCGCAACGGCGTCGGAAATTGTAGCTCCAAAACCGGATCTCGACGCCAGAGCAAGAAAAAGACGATTTTGAAGCACTTTTTAAAAGTATTTTTAGAAGGAAAATCACTAGCGCCAAAATGGAGAAAATCTGCTGACAAATCACTGTCGCAGCCTTCATGCAGCCACTCCAATACGATTTACGAGATCCAGCTGCAAAAGACGATAGTATTACGCATGCAGCCAAAGCAGGAAGCAACCTTGACGCAGCCACTACAATGCGATCTGCAAAGACTGAGCTGCAAACCGCAATCCCATTTACATTGCGGGAGCGATCCTACAGTTGCAAATCACAATGGAATTCCATCGGCAACTCATCCACCAGCACCAGTTGCAATCCCATTTACATTGCGGGAACGATCCTACAGTTGCAAATCACAATGGAATTCCATCGGCAACTCATCCACCAGCACCAGTTGCAATCCCATTTACATTGCGGGAACGATCCTACAGTTGCAAATCACAATGGAATTCTGTCGACCACACATGCACGAAAAACAGTTGAAACCCCATTTACAATGCGGAACCGATCCGAACATATCCGAGCATGATCCGACCACACACGAGACCGTCTCGCACCCGTCGCACCGCAGAGGTAGATCATAGAGGTTCGGGGACGGACTTTGTATGGAAAAACATAGGGTTTCGTGCATCTGCTATCTCTCAAAAACGCATTTCGTGCGAGACTTCCTTCAAAACTCCATCGGCAACTCCTCCACCAACACCACTTGCAATCCCATTTACAGTGAGGGAACGATCCTAGAGTTGCAAATCACAATGGAATTCCATCGGCAACTCATGCACCAGCACCACTTGCAATCCCATTTACCTTGCGGGAACGATCCTACAGTTGCAAATCACAATGGAATTCTGCCGACCGCAAATGCACGAAACACAGGTGAAACCCCATTTACAATGCGGAACCGATCCGAACATGATCCGAACATGATCCGAGCATGATCCGAGAATGATCCGACCACACACGAGACCGTCTCGCACCCGTCGCACCGCAGAGGTAGATCATCGAGGTTCGGGGACGGACTTTGTATGGAAAAACATAGGGTTTCGTGCATCTGCTATCTCTCAAAAACGCATTTCGTGCGAGACTTCCTTCAAAAATCCAACTTGAAGATGTCATTTACAATTAACTCTGTCCCTCACTAACTCTTTCTTTGACTAACTCTTTCCCTAACTAACTCTTTCCCTCACGAACTCTTTCTTTGACTAACTCTTTCCCTGACATTCCTCTTTCCCTCACAAACTCTTTCTTTGACTAACTCTTTCGCTGACATTCTCAAAGTTACAATTAACTCTGTCCCTAACTAACTCTTCCTTTGACTAACTCTTTCCCTGACAGTCTAAAAGTTACAATTAACTCTTTCCCTAACTAACCCTTTCCCTCACTAACTCTTTCTTTGACTAACTCTTTCCCTGACATTCTAAAAGTTACAATTAACTCTCTCCCTAACTAACTTTCTTTGACTCACTCTTTCCCTGACATTCTAAAAGTTACAATTAACTCTTTCCCTAACTAACTCTTTCCCTCACTAACTCTTTCTTTGACTAACTCTTTTCCTGACATTCTAACTCGTTGCCACTTTTCCCGCCTTAGGCATTGCAAATTTGTTTGTGGTTGTTTCTGCTTGCTTTAGGTCTCTGGTTCCATTAGAAACCATGTAAAAACCAAGGAAAAACAGGTATCCTTGGGGGAAGGTTAGGGGTTTGGGGCATGGATTCAGCAATTTTGTTTTTGACTTATTTTTGAAAACATGCCAGAAAACTATGAAAAAACAAAGGCAGCCAATGAGTACGTTTTTTGATATTGACATTGCTGAGACATTGCTGACTATAAACCCCAGTTTCCCCTAGTACATCCCAATATATCCCACCCATATGGGAATGTCTCAAAATGAGGCGAGCCCTTTTTGTTTTAAAGTAGCGTTTTTGGGGGTCAAAAAGGGCGCGCCTCATTTTGATACGTTCCCATATACCACAGAGGTTTTTACAGGCTTGGGTGAGGGACTGAAGGATTGGATTAGATTAGACTAGATTATATATATACCTAGGGAATCAAAAACCCTTCAATTTTTAGGGTCTCAAAAAAAAACACGTTTTTTTTTCAAAAAAAACAGGTTTTAGCATAATCAACCATAACCCAATATTGTGAATTAAGTATGAAGGTGTTTGATTCCCAAGGAATGTACATGCATGATCATACATGTGTGTTCACATACACATGGCCACATTAACAGCGCGCACATGGGCCTGCCCAAACCACAGACACATCAACTCAGCGCCTTTTCTTCATCTCAAAAGGCCTTCTTTGGTGAATGCAGTGTGTGCTGCAATTAAATATCGTTGCAACGAACGATGGATGACCTGCCTGATGTTTACTCTTCGACTTATTCTGCTGGCTTTTCCAATGGCGTCTTCATCTATTTGGCAGCAAAAGACAATCGGATTGAGGGACATCTTGTAGAGTCGGGCCTGCTGCAAAATGGTTAGCATCTGCTCATGGAACCCATGTAGCTTACCATACAAAGGAAAAACCCATGGACGATTGTCTCCGAAAAGATCTCGGGCCATCAGTGAGTACGTCTGTAGGAAACGAACGCCTCTGGTTGCAACATAAAAGCATTGCTCCTCAGTCAAGAAAACTTTGGCTCGAAACAAGCAAGACCACAGCTCGTTCATCCATACAGTTGCACGCTGGCATTTGGGCAACCGTTGGCATGCATCTGGTGGTAATTTGCCAATCAAGTCATCCAACCACAACAAACAATTTGTTGTAAGGGCGCCTTTGCTCCAATTCCCCATGCAACCAGTTCTGTCATTGTATGACATGAGGTATGGTGTGATGCTACTGATGTGGCATTGTCTGTGAGATTGTTTGCAAAATCTTTTGTAGTCATTGGTAAGCCATTGCCATTTAGACTCCAGATTTGGAGCTGGAACAACTTCTAGCACCAGCTGTATCACTGAAGCCACCCAAGACCGTCCAAATCCAAGGTGCACAATGTGCCAAATGTCTCCCTGAAAAAAAGTTGACGGGTCTGACACATCGTGAGCCAAATGTTTGATCACTGCAGGTGTTTTCATCCATGGTATTTTCACACCTTGAGTTTCCAACCACTTTGGAGAAACGGTGTCGATCTGCTCTGCCGGGTAGCCATAGGTTCCTGCTAAACACCTGTGACAAATTCCCTTGGGTGCAGTACGTTCATCACCCCTTTTCACCAGCGTGTTGAATGATCTATACAGACGGCCCACCTTTGCAAGATATGGTGCATCCCCTTTGACAGCTATGATCGCAATCCTGAAAAGCTCATGTGTTGTTGGATCACGATAGCCATCAAGTAGTAAACTCTTCAAAGAAATGGCAACGTTCTCCATTGCATTGTGAAAAGATTCAGGTGCACTTTCGTAGACAGTCTTTGGCATCATGGAAATGATGAATCGATGTGTGAAGGAATGACCCAAGTAGTTGACCTTCAATGGTCGTGGGCCGCCACCCCCCCTTCCCATTCTCTTACGATCAAACCCATACCCAAGCGCTGATTGCAAAGCCGTCACCATGATTGCTTGTCTTTTGAGGGTTCGTCCTTCGTCCCCATGTATGAGAAAAGCAGCTGTCCGAGATAGGTCTTTCCCGTCCATGTCAAACAACTGGAAATGCGGTTGAACCACTCGATACCGTTCCCAAGACTCTGCCCAGAGAGCTCGAGCTGTTGAATGCTCATCACGGCCAACCCCAGCAAGTCGGGTCCAAAGGCCTTTTCTCACAAGCCATGCAAGCCAATCACGTGGATCAATCCAGTCGATTGTGGTGTCATGCTGAAGAGTCATCTGGCTCAACGGCACATCTAGTGTAGTACCTTGTTTCTTTATGACCTGGTGAGTATCACGTTCTGTATTTTCAAGCTTGCATTTAGCCCATTTGTTTATACCAGTTTTCGCAGCCTCCGCCTGACCAATGTCCTGAACCACAGCCTGGGCTGTGAGAATCTGGCTTCTGCAAGTGGCCTCAGACCGGCAGGGCAAGGCATCACCCAATGTTTGTTAAATGTCAATCTCGTGAGTGTCTCGGGCCGGGGTCTTCGAAAAGATATGTTGGTTGTCTTCATTTATCTGAATTGCTCAGAATAGGCCAACTCCCAAAACACAAATGGCACAGCAATGATTTTTGCCAAGCTCAACTGCAGGCGTCAAAGCGCTGTACAATGAAGAATTCAGCAAACTACTGCACACACGGAAGGAGCTAAAATCCCCACACCAGCATGTGAACATGCAATATTGAAAACTACCTAGACACCTGATCAATCATCATACCTTTGGAGTTCAGGAGGGTACTTGTATGACTTGTAAACGATATACGTCAAAAACGGCCCCTCGCCGTCAAAATGTGGCCATCTTTTTTTCCCCCAGAAACCTTCCGCGTAGAGTTTCAAATCTGCTAGTGCAGTAGAGCCACATCAAAGCATCCCCCAACATCAATCAACATATTGGTTGGGTATGTTACCTTTATGTAAGTTTTAAGACAATTTAAGACATGAAGAAATGGAATACTTTCTCCGTGGGTCGGATGAACCGCTTAGTCCATGACACTATTGTTGAACCACAGGGCAGGGATGCTGGTAGGCACAGCCAAGCGCAAAGAATTATCCATTCTAAGGAAATTAACTGTGGAGATTCCAGACAGTCAAAAGTAAAATTCATGAATCGCCAATTGCAGCGGCGACTATGATACAATATTTTGGCACCCAAGCCATGAGATTTACACATGCTCCCTCAGTGGCTTTCATCTTTGATGACAACCTTCTTGAAGTGGCGCTTGGCATTCCTGGGGATACAGCTTGGACATGCTTGGAAATATGTATGGTGGAAATATGTATGGAATTGGTCTTATTTCAAACAAAACAGTAGAGAACCAACTCTCTCAGAATGAGCCACACCGAATGAAAACACCGACAGATGTCAGGACTTGTGATACTGCCTTTTGGGGTGCTCTGCAATCAGTGTATGCAAGCCAGTGACCGAATCTTGGCTTCATGCTGGGCAATTTTGGTGCACCTGAAGACCGTGTGGGAAAGTGGCTTAAAAAGGTTCCACAAAAATATTGCGCAACCAGTAAGTTGGTTTGCTAGTGGGCCACGTGAAAGTCGATGCTTTCATCTTTGCCTCTGCTTCCTTTGCCCACCTCAGAGGGCATGGATGAATAGGAGTTGGGTCAAAACTTTCAATCCCAAAAGGTACTCAAACCATATCAAATCATCGGATATAAACCCAAAGCCATAAGATTGCCAAACCACTCAGGGTTGAAATCATCCTGCTCTCCTTTGGCCATGTGGTCACTCAAAGTGTTGTACTCGTTGTCCAAAGTCGCCAAATCCTGATCCAAGGCTTCAATGGACCTTGGCCGCTCAGGAGGAGCTACTTGGTAGGGACTGGGAACCGGACGGGAGATAATAGAAGCTTACAGAAAGGGTAGAAAAATATAAGTTGACTTTTGATTGGATAAATAAAGCTCCCAAAGAAAAGACAATTGTTGGAGAGAAACTTCTTTGCATGCTCATCTTCACAGTAGTTCTTGCGTAGGTCACCAATCAATCCTCTGATCTTGGCACTTTTCTGCAGCACGGAATCGATATACTTTCGGAAGGTGTCTTTGGACCTGTTGGCCTTCCCAAGAATGGAAGTCACAAGGTGTACTGTAGAATGATTTGGTAACCCAAGTTATTTCAAACCCAGTCCATTTATTTGTGATACCATGAGATCAGAACCAAATCCAGCCGATAGGGGAAACACATGTAGTGAAAAGATCAAATGCGAGACTTTCTGGGCGGTTTGATGACATTGACCTAGTATCAAGATTTTGTACATCTTTGGTAGCTTATGAAAGCCGCACACACCACCCTAAGTAATTACACATGGCCTGGGACGTGGCCACAACAGTCCCAGCAGTTGTAGCTCTCAGTCGGGTCTCAACTTGGTCAGCATCACTGGCACTCACATCCGGAAGTGATGCCGTGCAATCCATCTCCTGCATGGAAGGACTGAATTGATGGGACATACCTACTTCATTTGGACTTTGCTGCTGGTTATGAACAACTCAAAAGTTTCTTGGTGAAACATGGAAAGGAACTGGCTCCTGGGCATTTTCCCTGGTGACCTCCGAACTGATCTTTTCATGCTGGCGATTCCCTGTCTCACGCACCCGCACGTAGTACTCATCATCTCCGCCATAGGCACAGCGCCTTCCAGGAAAATAGGAAGACAGGGGTTCCTAGTTTCTGGATAGGGTTGATGATCAGAATTTGCGTGTAATTAGGCATGGTTGATTGCCAAATGGAGCACCCCCTACCTCACCAGGTTTGCCTGATCTTGCTCACAACATTTGATGGCACCATCGATCTTCTTCCTCATGCTACTGGTGTTGGAACAAATCATCAAGTTTTTCCGTGCAACATGGTACACACACACACATTCCACGCTAGTCTAAGCATGCCCCAAAAAAGAACACAGCTGTATAGATTATATAGTCAAGGCAATTTGGCAAACGCATTGACATGCTCAATGGTGGTTCAACGTATTTGGATAAGACTCGTGTTCCATTTTAAGACCTTCAGCATATCGTCCCTGGAATACCACCCCATTTCCAAATCGCTGACAGTCTTGTCATTCTTTGTGAGGGACTTCTCCTTGAACTTGATGAACGCCTCCTGGATTCGACTGGCTCTGGATTTGTTCGGATTGCTGATATGGGTTGCTCGGCCAACATGGAGGGTAAACTGGCAAATATGCAATGAATAAATTGCATTGATTGTTGGTTAGCAATCCTTGTCGAAGTTGCACTGTGCAAGCTGTTTGGCCATGGTCATGTGATCTCCATTCTTCCACTGGTCATGGAGCCACTGTGGAACTTGCAACTGCCCATTTTTTTTGGGCTCACACAAACGCCTCAACTTTGCCTTCAGGGCGTTTTCCTCCTTAGTGGGCCCCGGTGTTGACATCTATTGAGGCAATATGTCCTGATCCAAGTTGTAAGTGTTAATTTGTTATCGTGTTGACTGTTCTTCCACTTTTTGTTTTGTGAAGGAAACAAAGTTATGAATCAACACAATCAAGCTTCGTTTTTTGCCTTCTTGGCTTGTTCAAGAACATCTTCCAACGACTCCTCTGGTTCGGATGGGGTCACCTGGGAAATTGGCCTTTTCTTGGAATCATTTCCAGTGTCACCAGTAGGGGCTCCAGCTTCCAGATTGGATGTAGCCGAACTAGAACCAGTGGTCAATTGAAGCCCCAAAAGCTGCATGGCCATGTCACCATCAAGCTGGCCACCCCGCCACATAGCCATGATGCGATTCGTGACCTGAATAGGAGAGGTGAACTATTGTGCTTTGATCTGATGTGTTGAGAAGCAGTAAGCCATATACCATATGACAGAAAATGTTCTTGCACCATATACACCTTTACGTGTTGAATTTTAATCAAAGAGCTGCATCATCTTTGGCCATTTGAGATGCAGAAGAAGGGAGTGACGATGTTGGGGATGAAGGCGAAACTCGAGTCTTGCCCTTCACAGAACCATCATCTGACCCACCCAACCCCAGTTTCAGAAGTTCCTCCTCTGAAGCTGGCTGGGTTTCAGCCTCCGCCACACTCTTGTTGACCAGTTCCCGCTGGGGAGTAGCCTCAGGGTAGCTCAGGCCAGCAAATACCCTTCAACATTCTGCCAGACGCCCCAAATAGACAATACATTATGAGCAGTCACAATGCCTAGGAAAATAGGGACATAGGATAATCCAGTGGTTTTTCCGCATCAACACCAAACAGAGCTTGTATATAATAGGCTATAAAG